ACCCAGCTTCACCTCCTCCGTGGGGATAGGGATCAGGTCGTCGATTTGGCAAATGCCTGACAGAGTCAGGTCACTGGGATCCATTTCGACTCGATCAGGTATGGGGGTGTTGTTTTAATAGGGAACCCAACCTAACTCGACCCCCTGGAAGAAGGAACATAGACCATAACTCATTGGCGGCAGGTGTTCCTATTCAAATACAAGATATATAAGCTGCACGACTTTGCCTTGAACGGTTTCACACGAGCTGTGACTAACTCTGTCACTTTCCAAATCCACTCCAGAGCGGATGAAACCTACTTGCAAAAAAAGGGCTTATATGGGCTAATAAGCATGGTGACCCCTGACTTCCTGGGTGAAAATCGACAGCATCCGCAGAACTTCTGGTCAATCCAATATAAACACCGAAAAGTGGCCGCACCTGGCATGACCTCCTTCGGCTCCGGCCAAAAGAGCGCCGGGCTCGGCGCGAAGCGCCCGGGCGCCGCGCGCCAGCCGTCGATCAAGCGCTGCGCATCTTCATGGCGGAGCTGCAGTGCTCGGGCAGCCGCTTCGGGCCAGCGGCCCAGGCAGATCCTCAGTCATAACGAATCAGTTTGCCTGGAGCCCCTTCCAAAGCAAATATGCAACTGTAACTGTGCATGGCTCGTTGGCTCATGGTCCATGATTGCGAGGGCCAAACAGAAACACCCCTAACCACCTAGCAACTCTCCTATGTAATTCCACAGTTTGTGAAGAATCCAAGATCAAAGCACTCAAATGAAAGTACACAGTTGGATCAATGATCCCTCTTCGCTCATCCTACCTCTTCCCTGGTAATCGTGCTTCCTGAATCATGGGAAATATGATGGCATGGCATGATCCATCCCAGGTCAACAGGTGAGTTTGGTGAGTTTGTGGCTGTCCGTCACTTGTTCCTTCTCCTTGCGAAGGAAAAACTGGGCAAGCGGGGTCCTTTGGAGTCATCCAGTGATCTTCCGGTGGACAGCTTCTTCAAGAAATTGACTCAGGTGATGCAACGAATTGGCACCTCTCTTCCAATTCGTCAAGAAGGACAACACAAAACAAACTCAATGCAACGGTGCATGTCTGAAACAAACCTATGTTCCAAACATTCTGGAACGTGTCTTCAGACTTTCTTTTAGATAGACATCACATTAGACTGATTAGACTCACACCTCACACTCATACTCAAAAATGCCATGACCATCCATCTTCACTTCTGCCACCCTTTTTCCAGGTCTCTCCAGTGCCAAGTGCAGCTCCTCTAAGCCCTCTGGGCGCTCCATCTCTGACTCCAGCACTTGGAGCGCCTCCTGCGGCCGCTGCTGACGCCAAAGCAGCAACGCCGCTGATGCGGTGGAGCGCCCCAGGGACATCGCTAAGGGGCGGCCTTGAAGGTGGAGAGAAATCCATCCTTCCGATGGGCCTCAACCAGGTGCAACCTCCGACGAATCCACCGACTGGGACGGATGGGCCTCCAAGCAGTCCGGTAGATCGGACGTCCATCCAATGCAGATCGGGCGGTTGTGGTTGTGGTTGCGGAGTCGGATCTTAGGAGGAGAGGTGTCAAACGCAGAAGAAGAACCGGAAAGAACGAGAAGTAGGTGATGGGCAGTTGGAGTGAATCGACCTCATGGACTAAAAAGGTCCCAGTGGTGAAACGCCTTGGATCCAGATCTGGATGGCTTGCCAGTGCCATCTACTCAGTATACTCAGGTCACTCGCTGTTGATGGGACATCCCTCAGGGGTACATATATCGGCAACGTGTGGTTTGAAAGGGGAAATTATGTGTAAAGCGATACATATATGACCCCACTCCAAAGGAAGTGGCTGGCATAGTCCCTTTGAAGATGAATTTCCTCACAACATGGTGAAGGAGGTTTTCCACTTCCATGCTGTTTTTTGCCACAACTGGAAGCGCACTTGTCTTTTCAACTACCTGGAACATGGTAATTGCCATACTTATGCTCGTGAGTTGGGGAAACAGGTGTCTTGATGTTCGACCAGAACTCTTAGCGATTGACTTAGCGGTGTGGGTTTGGTTGATCCCATCACTACCGTAACACCTATACAAGTACCAGGAGGGCAAAGCTCAGTCCCCCTTCACCCCAGATATGCCAAGCCAAACTCTGGAGATCGAGAGTGACCGCCTATACCGCCTATGCCTGTTATGTGCGACCACAACCGCTTCAACTGCCCATCATCGCCTGTGCCAGCGACCAATTTGAAGTGCAAGCGTTGCTTCGAGCGCCCAAGCTCGGTCACCAACGCGGCGAAGGAGAGGCGACCAAGCTCAGGGGAGCTCAACCTGACAGGTTGCAAAGCTCAAAATCGCAGTGGTCATAGGGTACAAAAGGGCAAGGTATACTTCACAATAGTTTCGGAATCTCTTGGAATATCTCCAAACATTAAATATGTATGTGGGGTGACTTTTCCTGGGGATGGGGTCGTAGAAGAGCTCTATGTGGGAGACTCAATCACCAGCTACTTTGAAGGAATTTCAGCCACATGGCTAGTCATTGCCGAATCATTCCCTGAGCACCAGTCTGTGTCTACAAGGAAAACATTAAGTGGGTAAAGTTGATGAGGTCCGACGAGCCCACTACGAATCGGGCAGGACAGGGCGGAAATGGATTAGAAGAGACTATAGAGCTAAAACAATCCAAATGGACCAGAAGGGGTCTCGACTGCGATGTAGCCCTAAACAAGCTCAAAAAAATAAGTGAGAACCGTGGTTGTATTGACGCCTGAAAGTTATTATATTATATTGATGAGGACTTTTCAACGCACTTCCAACGAATGCACCTTGTATTCTAGCCCCCTGCTAGTCCCGAGTCCAACCCTGTATACGGGCACCCGGCTCATTTCGGAACACTTGAAATGGATCATTGTGGAACACAGATTCAGGAAAAGGTCATTGAAACCAGTCTTACAACAGTTGGGGGATCATTTTGGAACAAACCCATATTCTCACCACCTGCTGCAGCTTGAAGACACGATTTGGTGAAAGTGTGGTGTGACAGGGTGTGGGGAGGTAGGGGTGATATTATCTTGCAAACAGCATTCGGCGAATCTCTGAAACGGATTGAAACGGGACTTTGAGATTTGCGCAACAGCAAACTGCAAGTTGCTGCCAGTTCTAGTCTTCCGGGATCACTGCGGCCAAAGCAACACCATCACTACCCGGGACTTCAGACGGTGTGGTGTTCTTGAAGGTCCAAGATTTTAGAAGGGCTGCAAAACATAGACATTGTTGGAATAAGTTGGACCATGTTGGAGAAGAGTCACTCCGTGGTCTAAGACGCTTGCCAGCGCTTTGGGGGTCATTCAAAAGTAATCTCATTCGGCCTCAAATCTATACAAAAACATGCGGACCGTCTGGGCCAGAACAGGCAGTGCTTGAAGGGCCTCCTTCCACGGCATGCTGGTGCCAATTGCTGTCATTCTTCGGCAAACCCTTGATCGAGTAGATCGAAAAGCAACTTAATTTCAAGAACCGTCCTTAATTGAGAGACATACTGTCAAAAGAAAATGCGACACTTTCAACATGCAAGGTCCTTGAAAGGGGAAGTGTTGTTTCACTTTCTGTGAGAACAACCTCACATGGACGTTCAACATGCCAACACCTATACTCTACATTGCAGACCCTCCTCACCGCGTCAGTCACTCAGTACGCTGCCGTAGAAATATGATTGAAACCCAACACCAACCCGTCGCTCACTTCGCCGAGGAACTCCTCTCCTTCCCGCACCAAAATGCCCCCTTTCTCTGCGCCACCCACGACCTTCCAGTACATCTCATGTGCCCTTCGGGGCGCTCCGATGAGCAGCTCAGCTGTTAAATGTCAAGCAGCGAAAAGCGCATGGGCGAAAAGCTCATGCATTTGGCTGTGTCTAGGGCCAGTAGGCCACTAGAAAGAACGAAAAGGAACATAACAGTTTGGGATGATTTGGGATCCCATACTTTGAGAATCCATCTGTTTGATTTGTTTGTTCTTGCTTGATTGCAGGTGGTCAAAGAACACAAACTCTGATAAGATCGCAATTGGCAAATCCGACACTTGAACCAATCAAAGCTGCAGAACACACGGAGTTTAACCTGAGCCCGGCCGCAGGGCTGGGGGCCTAGAAGGGGGATGCTACTCGTCGACAGCCCCAAAGATGATACAAGAAATCGAATCAAAAGCTGTTTCCAGCACATGTTACCCATGGAGGATTTGCAAATAGAAACCATTGTCGGATGAGATCGAAGTGCAAAAACCTCGGGAGAGTGACACCAATGCAATCCTGGGCAACCTTTATATCAAAGGAGTCCGCCTCTGATAGAAAGCAAGGTAGATCTATTATATAGATCTATATAGATATATTTCCTTGGAGTCTCCTTATTCTCGGATCAAACCCATGAACCACGGATTCAGCCCATGAAACGAGATTTGTTTAATCGAAGACATGGTCTAGACGTTATGCCATGGATCAATGGCGACGTGGGACGCATGACAAACACAAACTCCCAGTAGCCCTTAAACGAGCGAACTTGCTTTAGCTCATTTGACTTGCCAACTGGGACACATGCTAACTGGTTCTATAGGATGTTATAGTTACCAGTATATAATATAACTGTTACACATACTACTACCGTGATCGAACTAACTCTTGGTAACTCGATGTAACTGCTTTGATTGTTCTCATCCAATATCACCCACTTACAGTACCATTAGCTGGGGATCTTCACCACTCCAAACCCACAGCACATCATCAGGAACACCGCAACAAGCATAGCTATAGACTATAGAAGAACACCTCCCAAGGTGCCAGGCTCTGATGGGAGGTCTCCTATACTTACCGGGGGGCCCTCAAAACCATGAAAAACAATGGTTTTCACATACAAAAACCAGGTTATTTGCTAGGGAAAAGCCCGGTTTCTGATGGTTTCCCCTGGTAGGATCTGTTTGGATCTGCTGGGACGGAACCCTTCCGACCCGCAACCCCTAAAGCGCCTTTCGTCGGGCTTTCCAGGCCACGGCAGCTGCCTCGTTCATGGGAGGCATGGCCTGGCGACCACCGCTGCAGCGCGAGGTGCAACCCTAAACATCGTCCTACTGGGGAGGTCGAAGCAACGTACCAACGGGGATGCTGTTGGATCCATGGGATCCATGGACATGTGCCCTGTTGGATCCATAGAGAGATCATTCTGGGCCGATGGCTTGAGGGCACCTGAATAATTTTGTTTAAAAATAGTTGAAGCTCCCCAAATCCGGGCAGCCATGAGTGACTGGGTCGCTCAACTGCTAGGACTTCTGAAAAAATTAAAGAAAAACGCACACCCGAAGCCAGTCTCGGCGAGCCGTCAATGAAGAGTTCAACATCTTTCACAAGATGTTAGTGAGCATTAATGATAACAACAACAACAAAAGGGACACCATAAGAAGTTTAAGGTCAACACTTCTGGCCAACTGCCCGACCAACTGCCGCGCGCCGCGACGCTCTTGCCGGTGGTGACCAAGTGATCTCTCCGATTCACCCAGGGTCCACCCTGGCAGCGAACACACCGAGGGTGGCGTGGGGCGACCACAAAAGGAGTGGCTGTGTGAAACACCTGTGAGCCAGGTGTCTTTGGAAATAAACAGGTTGTTCATGGCTGTTCCTTTCGAAGGAATGCATTTAGGAAAACAAGCAAATATATACATTTATATATTGTACAATGTGTAAATTAAATAAATGTGTTCCATGCGTCCCAACCCCAGACCACAATCGATCAACACCTTCACCTCACAGGGTGCCTTGGCCATTTCCCACACTTCAGCCCCAACACCCGAGTCTCACGTGGCTCGAACGTATCACCTGGGTGATGCCAATTCACTTCTCTGTCCTCACGCGACCCACCACGGATGCCGGAACCGGACGGTTTCGCCGTGCGCGGTGTTTGGTCCAATCCGCTGGGCTTCCCCAGCTGGCTGAGCCCAGGTCAAGGATGGGGCCGAACTGGACTCCATGAGTCCCTGGCGGATGGATGGACTTCATGGCCTCCAAAATGAGTGAAACAAATGGATGGTGCTTCCTTCGGTTTTGGCCTGGACAGTGTGGAACTGGGGGCCCCCTTGGTGGGTGGTATTAAATTATTAATAATTATTAGGTGGTTTGGTGGGATGGTTGCTCCTGTGTGTTCCTTTGCGCAAGAAAAAGCTACATCAAGTGAGAGTTCTCTGCCAGGAGCACAACATTGAGGATGACCATGATGACACACGGACGTGTTTGCAAGCGAACCATTGGGGGAACGTGACTCGTTCCCTACACTTGACACCTGTGTGGGTCAGTGGGTCGAACGTTCCAATCTGTGTGGGTCAGAGGATATCGTGTCAGGAGAACAGCTGGCCACGTCTCATGTTGTTTTTTCAGGAGAACAGCTGGTAATGGTAGCATTGGGTTTGCACTTGAAGGTACAGAGTCAACAAAATCCCCCTGCGGTGGGAAAACCGGAGCGTAAACTCAGCAAGTCTGGCCCATCATCTGGTCCAACTTTAAATGAGCGTTGAGACCAATCAAAATAAACAACAAAGAGGCTGGCAACGCAACTGAATAGGTTGCAGCTAACCATGGGTCTTGTGGACTGGGGTCGAAACCAAAGAATTTGGCAGTCGTGTTGGCGGTCCAACGACCTGTTTCATATCCTGCGATCGGCTTCGCCATGGCCTGTTGCTCACTTGGAGCAAAAGGGAACGAAATGAACCAATAACCATGCAGTGGTGTGTTTGTTTGATTTCTGGAATGATTCAAATAACAATGTCAGAAGTTGCATATAATGTCCACATAGGATTAACCAACCTCCCCATCTCGAGTCGCCCATAATAAACCTGAATTTCAACATTGGATCTAATATGTTATGTTAACCGTTATGTTATTTTCTTGGCAGAAACTTCCCCCTATGCATCAAGCCAATCTGCCCCCAGAAAATAGACATATAGTTCACTAGTACAGTACATTGTTTATTATTGTCCAAAGCTGCAATCTAAGTTGCCAATGTTCTCCCAAGCAACCTTCTTTTTTCCACAATCCCTAAAAACTATCCAACAAATCCTTTCCTTTTCCCTTTAAAAAACTCTATCAACATCTATAAGTCTATAAGGTTCTTCAAGCTCAAAAAGGGTACCCTCACACAGGCCTCATGGTTCACACAGAATCCAATCAACCACCAACCATCACCTTTATTCATGGTTCACAGGTCTCGTGCCTGGGAGCTCCCAAGCAGTGTTGGCGCATAGTTAGGAGGAGCAGCCGGCCCTTAGAGATGTACAAATCCAACTGGATGTTTGGTCTCTACCAGGACCCTCCGACCATCGGGGTGCCCTGTCTGGAAGCCTATAGAGTAGTGTGGGGTAGTTCAGCCAGGACACCCCGACAGATGTCGGGTCCTGGTATCAAGCCAACACTTCAACCTTTCCTCGGTGAAACGCAGTGAGGTTCGCCGCGCAGAGACGGTGTCCGTCTCAGGTGGTCCGAATGGCACATCAAATGGATTTGCCGAGGATGCCTATAGGCACCGTATTCAGAATGCCAAGTGCATTGGAGTGCGTGCATTCTTCAAGGTCGTTGATCAAGGATGACCCTCTCCCCACCCACCCACCATGTTCCCGTGTGGCTGCTGCACTTGCATCCCCGCCTTCATACTGGGGCTGGTCATCCCACCAAACACTCGCAGTGCTGGTGGGACACCCCCCTTCCCTACCGCGCCCGCGGGCGCGAAGTTTGAGCCTAAGAAAGGAGCATCAAATGGATTTCCCATTTGGTAAATGTCACAGATCAGCGGTTTAAGGTTGAAGTCATACCCAAAAGGGCATATGGCATATGCCTGGGGCCAGGTAAATAAGGTTTGGCTGGGGTCTGCAAGTAGGAACCCTTGCAGCATGTGTTTTGAAATTGCTGATAAAGTAAGATAAAGCGGGAACATCACCACATGAAGCGTGTGTTCTTGTTTCCCTCAACCACGGAAAGAACTTAATTTCCAACTGTGCACTGCAACAGTTTTTTCCACCAGTGGAGTATGCGGCGGAATGCCCCGAAGTTTTGCGCTTTTGGCCTTAACAAAGAAATGAATGTACCACGTTAAACCTGACTCCGGCTGTCATGCCATGGACATGTGTGATCTGCTTCATGTGTTGAGTCTCCGTTACTCATTCACTTTTGCACACGCTTCACTTTTGCACACGCATGATGTTTGCTACCTACAGTAGTTTTAAGAAAGCCACTTGGGCAATCTCTGATGGTTTTGCCAAAATCATGTTCAATTAAACATAAAAGTTGAAAGAAAGCAACTACAAAAAGCAAAAGCAACAAAACAAAAAGCAACAAATGAAAAAGTAAAAACAAAAAACACAAATCCAAAAAGAACAAAGCAAAAAACAAATGTGTTTGGCTTTTGCTTTTTCATTTGTTTTTTTTGCTTTTTGGATTTGTTTTTTTGGGCTTTTGCTTTTTCATTTGCTTTTGTTGCTTTTTGGATGTGCATTATTTTACTTTTACTTTTTGTAGTTGTGTTTGTTCGCGCTTTGGTTTTGCATTTTCTTATTTTCAAGATTCACAGAGTTAGCCTGGGTCCGGCGATGATAACAGTATAGTTGCTTTTAGAGAGGTTCCGAGGTTGCACTGGACTATATTCATTCTGCTGGGATATCATTCTGGACAGGTTTCCAAAGATTGTAATTTCAATGTAATGTAATTAAATTGAAATTGTGTCTCTTCTTTGCGCCTTTCTTGTTCCCTTTCTTTCTTCACAATCGTTTTACTCCAATGTTTCTTTATGGATATGTTTATCTTTCTTGCTTTTGTATTGGTGATTTCATGTTTCCAGCGGATGTCTAGACTTGATGCTTGCTTTTAGGCACTAGCTCCTTTGTGATACTAGCTCCAGGCCTGCGCGTCTAATCTAATCTACTGCAATCTAAAGCGCAAGGAATTAACTAAAACACAAGTATTGTTTTCCAAGTGCTCGTAGACATTGGTGCACGTGATGATAAATTTCAGCCACCGTCTCCATCGCGGGTGGGCGCTGGGGTGGTGGAGCGAGAAAGAAGGAAAGCGGACAGGTAGGACCACGTCAGCGAGAACAGCAGCAAAACAACATGTGAAACAGCAGCTTATGATTGCTTCTAGGAGGTAAATCGAGTCCAACAAGCTTCCCGACTCAAGGTGCATCTGGGTCTGCCATGATTTTTCTGCTGCGAGTCAATGACTGTCATTTCCACCGTAGGCCAGGGGTGGCGATCAGGTATTTCTCGATACAAAGATATTATTTCCCTTTTGTTCTTGTGTTTTTGACTTTCATGTTTTCCCACATGCTTGGATATTCTGTTTCTGGAGGCTGCTCATTCTATTTTGCCACCCATGTAAATGCTTATTTATTCAAATTTCCCAGAGCAAAGTTTTTAAATATATAAGCGCCTATGAGAATCTTCCCGACCTGATTTAAGCAAAACATCACTTAACCATGCCATTCACGAACAAAGCAACAAAGCTTGAACACTCAGTTGCTACATGGTTTGTGCAAGAGCTTGGTTTTTTATCGGAAGACACCCTGTTCACTGCTGACGCTTCCATGTCTTTTTGAAGTGGAAGAAAACAAGTCGTTCAATACGGCCTGGACGTGGAGAAAATGACCAGAAACACTTGTGCTCATGCCTTGTTCCCATATACTGTGCTTCCTTTTGTTTGCACATCCCTGGAGACAAGCACTCTATTCCGCGCAAAAGAATGGATCTTGTCCTGCAAAGCTTCACAATGCTTCACATATTTAACGTTATTTGACACTTTATTAATAGGTAAAGCATGGTAAAGCAACATTAAACGGCGCTTGAGCATGTTTGAGCGCTTCTTTTCAGAACTCTCAGCGGGTCTCGATGTTTGACACATCGACACATCTCTGCGGGACAGGTCCTCCATGTCTGTTTCGAGGTCCGGACGTTCGTTCGCTGTCCTGCGTCTGTGTCTAAACGACGTGTTGCGTTTCGTTGGGACATGTTGGGACGGGGAGATGGGCGACAGAATGAAAAGGCTGTCCCCGTACCGCTCGACTCCCCAGACGACCAGGGGCGGACTGCTTTGGTGGACGGCGTCCAACGGCATGCGGTTTTTCCCGTGAACGGGTGGTGAGCCACATGGTGCCGTCAAATCAGGTTGGGGGACATCGGTCGAGGGAGTCACCTGACCACCTACCGCCTGATATCAGTATACATGGAGCTACTATACATCAGTTGCGCGACTCTGGGAGTGCCAAACGGACCGGTTCACGACCAAATCTCATCTTGAACATATGTTCTCACCACGTCAACACTGGTCTTTGAGGCATCCGACCAACTCTGGCTGGAAAACTGACACTCATCAACCCAAGACGCACGAAAGGCTTCAGCTTAGCGAAAGATCAACTCCCAAATCTCAACGGAAGCGCAGAAGAGCAATTTCTTGAACCATGCACAGTCTCGGTCTGAGGAAATCTGTACGTCTTTCAAAGGCACCACTCACTGGCTGTTTCCCCACTTTGAATGAGACCCTTCTTTGCGCCTCAGGGCCAACGAGAGCAAAGCTGCTCCACTTGGAGTGCAACTCCAGAGCCACGGTCGGTTCAGGATCTGCTCTAACAGAGTCGGATAGAGCGGACAAGTTCCAATTGAAGCTGTGGACATTGGAAGTCGACGCATGTCACTTACGTGACCATGGTGACAAGTTACTATAGATTCATTTCAAACCAGTTCAAACAGGACATATTACGTAAATGTTCAATTAAACCTTTATCATATATAGCTCTTTTGTGTTTGTATCATGCTTATCTCTCTTCTCCCATTTTCGCTCCATCACTCGTCATCGTGCTCCACTCAGCGGGCGATGCCCTCCCAATCCCAGTCGCGGAAGATGTCGGCGCCCGGCTCCTGAGTGGAGCACGTCGATCTGCGAATGTCTTTAACCAGAATTAGTACCCTTCAGTTCAACTACCCTATAGGTCACCCACATCATCCATCATCCACATCCAAATCTCATTCCTCTGTGGTTTTCGTGGGTACCAGGACGGGTCATCGACTGTTCGTCCAATTCCACCAGTCAATCCCTCATGCCCAAAGCGACTTTTGAAGACCATCCACCTATCGCTCTTCACCATCCTGCCGACGCCACCGGATTCACGCCGTGTCGTACCGAAACGCGCAGGATCCGTACCGAACGCGTCACGTCGCGTCCGTCGCCGGTGTGGACGACGGTCGATCCATCCGAGGCACGCCGGAGTAGCTGAAGGAGGGCGGCGACTTCTCGATCTCCTCGGCCAAGTCCACCAGCTCCCCGTCGCGGCCTTCGTACCTCATGCGCGGCACGCGGTGCGGCGCGGGTCGGCGCGCGCCGCGAGAACGCGCGGCTGGCACATGGAGGAAGAAGTCGGGTGGCACCGAGGTGACCGGAAAGGATCTGAACTTGTTGGATGGATTCCATGGATCTAGATGTGCTGCTCCTGGGTGTAAGGGGGGGGGCAGTTGGAGTCTCAAATGTGTTGAGAAAACAAAACAACCGGCCTTCTTGGAACTGGTGTTGGGAATGGTGGATTGCATTGTAAGGAGCTGTGGGGCTTTGTCAGGAGCCCTGCAAATCAACTGGTGTCAACCATCCTGGCGTTTCCGCGTTCTCTTGTTTAAGAGGTACACACGATATCCAATGCAAGTCATGCCCATTTCAACACTCCCCAAATGGATACCAAATGACCAATGCAGACCGGTGACCATTGCCAATTACTTTCCTTCGCTTCACCCCTGCGAAACAGAACACATGTCCACCCCTGCGCTCAATCCCGCCCTCCCCCTCTGTGCATCCGTGCAGGTACTTCACCTGCGCGGCAGCTGTCAAAACGGCCCAAAACACACCCGTGGGACCTGTCAAACCCGTGGGAGTCAAACCCCTCCGGTTTCTCGTCTGACGTGTCGCGGAGAGCTCCGGGAGAACCACGCCAGCCGCTACACGCATTCGGTCCTACGTGAAGACCTGCACCTTCGTTGCGGCCAGGCGGTCGCAGTGGGGATCACAGGTCGGCTGCCGTCGGCTCGTTGAAGAAAGAGGACAATGACAAGGACGAATGTTCCATATAGAGATAGGCCCTGGGCAGTCCAACTGGTGATCTTGTGGCAGTGTGGCATGCTGGATTTAAGTGGCAAGAACACTGCACCTGTCAGCGTGCTTTCATTGAGCTCGTCTGCACCTCTCTTCGGGAGCACCATAGAGCATCAACACAAAATGTGCTCGTCTGTCCGTGATCAATGATCAAAGGCGGGTTTCCAGCCACGATCCTAGCGCGCAAGTACTTGCAGGCTAGCCTCATGTTGTATATATCATATTGATTAAGGTTAATGATTGGTTCTGAGTTCTGAAGAATATGTTGCATTCCCTAAGGATCCAAGTACCGTGCACAGGCCTGGTGGAAAGTCAGCAGGTCACTCAGCTGGTGATGTATACCATGCTGGGGCACCAGTACAATAACAATAAGGGGTGTAGCAACAAAATGAGCCTGTTCCACTTCCGCGTCTATGTCTTCAGGCTTTGGCCACACGAATCAACAAGACTTCTTGCACGGCTGCGCTGGTGCCAAACGCACCAAAAAACAGCTGCTTCCACGGCCTTTGGGGGGGGGATGAACCAAACGACCCACGGCTGCCACGAGTTGCATCGACCATCAAGTCGACCCGAAAAAAGTGGAGAAGAGGCGTAGAGGTGGATCCCCCGTGGCCACGAGAGTCGAGTCGGAGGTTTTAACGGCCGTGGTCGCAACGGCGTGCCGACTCGGCTCCCCACCTGCAACAGGAATTGCATCCTGGCTGACGTCGTGGAGGATCCGAGCGAGGAGCGGCTATGAGCTCCGATCCAGGATGGTCCATTCTTTAGCCGGAAATCATCTCATTGGCTTTGCTTGGATAAACAGACTCCTTGAGTATATTCAAAGCTCTACACAGCACAATGTATGTAGTCATCTAGATTCCATCAGCAAACTTAATTCAATGGCATTTTGCAGTGTGTTCGGCATGCCGGATGCATCTCTGGAGTGTTCCTTCGGCGCTGCCAGAGGCCATCAAAGGAATCAACTTAAATCTCAAGAGGCCCAGTGTCCCATTTCTGATGGACAAGCCATTCATCTTTGGACGGCTACATCTGTGAGGCTAATCGAGGGCATTTGATTGCATTTCCTGATCCTCTCGCAACGAAGTAGATGTGTGCGTCTAAAATCTAGTCTCTTGTGCACTGTGTCGTCATTAAGGACTTTGAGAACGATATTTGATACATGCACCAAAAAAGACTATCTCACGTCTAGCGTGTCAAAACCAACCTCTTTTGAAGGCGTGTTTCCACCTATTTGCCTCCATTGACCCTCTCCAATCCCCCACTCCAACCCGCAACCCGCAACCCGTAACCCACTCCTCTTGGTGAGCTTTGGCTGGTTTGGACCCTCCACGAACTCGTAGACACTGGCCTGGTTGGGACAAACACGCTGGCTCTAAGTTGCTTGGTTTGAAGAAAGCCATCTGAAATAGTATATGATATTTGATGATACTGTATATTGCATGAATCTCCAAATAGCCTAGATGTTGCCCCTTAGGCATTTCTTCCTTGAACTCATACTGTGGGCCTAAAAGAGACATGCTAATCGACATCGACTTTTCTTGGTATCCCACCTCGTCAACACGGCTGACTTCTACATTGTCACAACCAAAAACATCAATCAATGCAGTCTTTGGGAAAAAGCACCACCCAGTTCGGGTGTTTATTGGATGGATAATGCATGAACATGTCGCCAGGTTGGTCTACAAACAACCCGAAGTGGGTGGATGAAGGCTGCTTTTCTTTCCTCAAAAGCAAGAATGCCCAGGCCTTTTGACGGATCTCCTCAATGGTCATCCCTCGACCTTTCAGCTCCTCGATCGGTGCGGTTTCCTCTCCGATTCGGTCGGTGCCTCTGGGTCGATTGGTGCCTCTGGGTACTTGGAGGGATTTAAATTGTCTAACATGTCCTAACTTCCTCAACACCGGGCGTATCTTGTAGACAATGAGACAATGATCCCCTTCTTCCTCTATTGATTCTGTTGACCATCATCCACCGTTGCAGTGATCACTGATACGGTTGGATCAGTGACACTGTCGGCATTCGGTCCAAGTACCCTCCACCGTAAGTTTGCCGGGATCTCCTGTGCAACATTCAAAAATTGACCCAACACAAACAAGAAACTTCTATAAATTAACAAGTGGATTTGATCATTCTCCTGAAACCAGTGGTGAGGAGGACATAGAGGAGTCGCTGGGTTGACTGGGTTACGCTTGGAAACATCCCATCCAAATCCGGGTTACGTTGACGGACTCAGGGAACATCCACGGTACATGTGGGGACGGACACATCATCCTTGCGAACATGAAAAACACCAAAACCAAAGAACCCGCACATCGGATCAAACAGGTTTGCGACTAGCTGCCGTACTAAACATTGAGACTCGCAAATGCTGTCTGAGCTGTCACAGGTTTGTCGACAAGGTTTGCTTCAGGTGCTCTACCTTGCTCTGTTTGTTTTTTTTTCAATTGGAGAATATCAGATTTTGCGTACTAATGAGCCTTTGCATTCTTTTACGATAGGACAGAAATGGGACACACATGTAACGGTACTGCTGACGAACCACACGGTTCTTCTCTCATCACAGCATTGTGGCTTCCGTGCTTGATCAGGCTTGAAACGACCAAATGCATCCAAATGCTGGGATGTGTGTTTCCATTGTCTTCCTCTGTCTGTGCAGGTCATGACAATTCATGACAAAGAAATGGCGTGGCTCCTTAATCAGCATCTGCTCCACGCAGTTCAGCCGCCCCTGCGGTTGACAGCGCGCTAACAGTTGTTACACAGAAAACGATCCAGGGATGGCACAGGTACTATCAGGTACTGCAGAGCACCAAGGTGGTGATAAAGCTCTGTGTACAACTCTTCAATCTGTGGAACCACGACTGGACTTGACTGGACTAGATTCCGACAGAACATGGCGATGTTCTGGACAGCATCTGAATGATAAGGTTGAACACACAATACATGAACTCACAATACATGAAGAACACACAATACATGAACTCACTTTAGATAGTGTATTATAAGTGAACGCTTGCAGATAAGAATGAAGGCAAGACCGGTTAAATAATGATAGAATTTGTATTCACATATTCTGATGTGCATAGGAAATAAATTACTAAAACTTTTAGATGTTCCTCTGCATAAGTGACACTGAAAAGAATACACACGCTCACTGCGCTGGTTTCTGATTCTCTACTCTCAGTTCACTTCCATTGTCAAAAAGGCATGCAGCTCAACACTCTTCACTTCGAATCCTTTGAGATCGATGGATCGATGGATCGCCTCTTGGCAAGCAATCTTGTAGTCCTCGATGTTCCTCAGATCTGTCGAAGGACGTCAGCAACATTCTGCAACCAAGCAACCAAGCCTGGATAGTTTGCCATGTTGGAGGGCAAAAGTCAAATACGTGAAGGGGTGTTCCATCAAGTTAGTTTATTCAAAAAAATAAACATGCATATAAATGGTCCTCCATCAACTAGAGTGCTAAACGCTTTTTGGTCCTAAAACACCAGTGCTTGCGATGCTTTATTTGTCATGGACCTTGAAACCTGCTATCTCTCTGACTTGTGCTGTAAGCAAAATAAAAGTGCCTCAGACGACAGGACATGGCCACAGGAGCAACATGCGTCCTCTCCCCGGTCTTCCAAACTTTGCACTTGGACGAGCCTCTGTTCTTGACATGTGTTTCGACCGCATCACTGGCAAGCGTTGGCTTGGAAAATCCATGAGCTTCTCAACCCTTTCCCTCTCACCTGTCGTCACACCACCCCCTTCAACCCATGACCCATCTCTTCACCTCCCCGACCACCGGCGGTGCTCTATATCGGATTCCAAGCCCAGCGGCCAGTTGGGATTGCCGCGATAGCCCCGCGGGGTGAAGAAGCCTTCTCTCTGCCACCACCACCTGAAGCGCACACGCACGTGCACACGTGGACGGCGCATGTGATGCGGTTGCAACCGCTGCAACTAAATAACACGACTGGTGTGAACGAGGAAATCGCAACGAACATCAACGAACGGCGCAAAAAAAGAGAGACACCCTTCCCCAGTTTGGCAGAGCACCGATTCATCGACGATCGTTAGTAAGGAGCATACAGTGCAAGGTGGTCTAGTGACTAGTGCCACGCTTGCATCAAAGGCAAAAGGACAAAACAGTTGGCAAGGAAGAAACAACGCAACCTACAGAACGTTTGCCTCCTAGTTAAGGGCCAAGCTGTGCCAGACTCAACTGCCTCTCTATCGTTTGCCACCTGGTTAAGGGCCAAGCTGTGCCAGACTCAACTGCCTCTGTGTCAAACCCTCTCCTGTTGGTGAACGTCACAGAACTCTAAATGTCCGAATATGACACGGAACGGCTTGGAATGTTCACCTTTACCCAACTGAAGCCTCCAATCTGCACCCCAATAAATAAGAGTTCTCCCTGTCTCTTTCAATGCCCGACCCACCAACCCGTCTTACGTGTCACCAGTGGTGCCGCCCGAAAAACGACGCCGTGTCAACCACCGCCCTATGTCCGACGCCGCTTTTGCGCTCGCAGGCACCGGTTCATGGAGGACTCCTTCCACTCGTCTGAGTCCCGCAAGATCTCCTTGCTCTGCCCCGTCACCGAGATGCGCCTGGAGCGTGTCACCGCGAACCGACGGCGACACAGCTCCGTCCGACGTCACCGACGCTTCGAAGCGTTTCCGACGTTCGTGGCGTTGACCGGTCTGCGGTGTCTGACCTCAAGACCTCGAGACCTGCGGTGTCTCTTTCTGCTTTCGAATGATCTGGGCTGGCGGTCTCTTAACGCTCTGTTCACAGTCGCTGTCTCAACTGAAATACACCATTTCATTTTATTTCCACATGCTGGTCAGGACATTCGGGCTTCGGATGTAGCCTTTTTGTTGGTTTCTGGAAGCCGACTCAAACATATCAAAACCGCCTGCATCTCCTGGCACCTCCAGACCCAGATCAGATCTAAACGGATGTATGACTAGGTGGTTCACGGGGTGAATCGGGATCTGTGGGTCACGCCTCCCACGACCATTCCGTATCATAATATGTTGGTCACCTCGCCCTTTCGTAAAAGAGATACTTTGGTCACTTGGCTAATGTTTGAAGGTACCTGGTCCTATAAATGTGTGTCACTTGGTCCTATATAGCTACCTTCAAACTTCTGAGATCAGGATCGGCCTGCCAGACAGGTTGGGCTCACGCTGCGACTGCCCGACGCCCACAAAGCTTTCGGCCAGCCAACCTGGGAAAGGGTGTTTGGGGGGTTAAGTATTAAGGGTTACACCCCAAACAATCTGAATCTATTCTATGTACTGTATGGCAGTGTAGGATACAAGCACCTACACTGGGAAACTGAATCTGGTATTTATGGCTTTGATTGGATTGGGCTATTAAAGAGGAACACATAGAACACCACACCCGCAGAGTCTGGCGACCCTTGCCACGGGAGCTCACTGTGTTGGTTCATCCCACTGCAGGACGCAAAAAAGGACAAGCAACACTTGTCAGAATTTACATTTATCAAGTGTGTTGTCTGAACTTGTGTGTTGTTTGAACCAAACACCATTTGAGATGTCCTTGCCTTGGCGGCCGGCGGCGTTTGGGGTTTGTTTCCGCACCCTCAAAAATGGATGTGCAATGACGATCTAATTACAAGATCAGTCACTGTATTTTTGCTGAACCGCACTGATAGAAACGACACCCAAAGATGTTGCGTTCTGTACAAAGCTATCAGTGGTTCGTTACTTATTACGGCAGACATATTTGGAGTTCTACTGCCGTTTGCTGCCGGATGCCACTCCGAACAAGCACTTCCAAGAAAGACCCCAAGTACGGTTGCTATGGTTTGTTGTTCAACCACAACGTCTTGCCTGGTGGGTTCCTAGGCCCAAAACAAAAAAGTTTCTGGCAAGCAGCTGGAAAGGACCCAGGCCGCGGCTGCGATGGTCAATAGGGCTTGACCTTGGCAGAACGTCATGGGGCTTGACGTGGTCACGAGGGAATCGGCTCGAAGTCTAGTCACTCCGGGAAGCAACATCAATTCTACATCCCTTTCGGATTTGACCAATCAAAGTACGAGGGGTACGAAAGAAGATCATGTAACTTCAAACATCCACACAGCAGGGGTGGATCAAAAGATCGGCGGTTCAGCGCCGATGTTGGTTCCGAAAGGGACCACTCCAAACCTTCCAACGCCCTGGATGCCTGCAGGAGAGCGGGATAGGGGGGTCTTCTTGCTCGTGGATATGAGATTAGGTCACGAGGACGGTTCCAAGAAAGACGCCTGGCCTGCACTGGGATGAGGACAGGAGGAACACCCCAACATCCGCCTTCCCGGTCCTTTTCCTGTTTGAGGCTCCACTTACTTCGCTTCTCAGGTTTCCTTTCAAAGGGCTGTTCCCCTACCTTACTTCCCTTACTTCACCCAGTGGCATTTGCCGAAGTTCGACCGCGCCATGGCGTTAAAATTCGGGGTCCGACCACCAGCTTCTCAGCAGATCGGAACTTGAGCCCGGCCGGAGCAAAAAGCACGATCGGATGGGGAACTGTTGACTTGTCTGAAGCGACTGTGATAGACCTAACCATCATTGGATGATATTGGATGCTATGGAGGCTTTTGAACATACATGAACTTAATATAGGCGTTTGAGTCAGGGTTTGGACCAGAACTTCGCCTTTGAGGGTCCACAATTCTTAGGGATATGACCAAACAAGAACAGATTCTACTGTCCCGTTTGGACTCCTGGCCCATCTCCTCAGGTTCGGTGGTATTCGATCCCCCTGGCACCCACCCCTGTCCCATCTTCTCAAGAGGTCGTTGGAGGTAAAACGGGTGTACTCCTTTCAACACCTCCGTTGAGCTTCGAATGGACCCACCCATTGGCTTCAGCGGTTCAGCGGTTCCGCTTCCCCTTGTTCGACCGGGCTCATCGAGTTTCCGCTGCTCTCCCATGATAGGGATCATCCCACTACCAATGGCAATCCCCACCACCAATGGCAAACTCGGAAGATAGGATGATAAGTCTGGCTGATCAAACCTTGATATTGATGTTCATATCCAATCCATGGGTTGTTGGCGGAACCCGCAGCTCACTCAAAGAAACATAGCTATGGAACAACGCGTTGATCAATGCGGGCCAAAGGACGAACCCAGCAGAAAAGCCCACCCCCGTCCCTGTGGATCTCAACTCTTTTCCTCGCTCAGGGTGGGTGCCGTAGTGGAGCCCTGGTTCCTGGGCAGGCACGTGGGTCAGATTGGGAAACTTTGAGAATTTGGAAGGGTGAAATGTGTGACTGAAGTTGAGTTCCAAACCAACCAGTTCCATTTCTATCTACAACAGTTCATTTCAGTTGGTCGACTTGGGAGGCAAAGGATCGATCCCTTGGATTTGATGATCCCTTCGACTTAGCAAACCCTCCCTCAATTGAGGACCCGAAAGCAACGCACCGCTGTGGGAAGGCTTGGGCCCAGATGCTATAGCTAATTGATTCATTATGATTAGCAATATTAGTAAATCTATATAATAAATGCTGATAAATTGTTTGTATAAGCTCATATAACATTGACAACAGTTGCAGATCAATTGCTACACAAGAAGTCTCCTCTACTCAGCTGTTTTGCTGCTTCAGCGGATGCTTGTTGCTTGTCTGGGCGTTTGCGACCATTGCCACGCCGGGTGCAAAGCTGAGAAAGACATGACCCAAGCGAACACTTCCCTCTCTGTGAATATCAACTCCTTGATCCCATTCTCCTTGCTTGCGCATTCTAAGCCAAAACGAGAAGCCCTCGGAAAAACGGCATGCGGTTTCGAATGGGCGTTAAACGCTTCGCGTGATGCACTTTCGGGATCGGCCCTGTCCGGTCCTGGCCGTCTCAGGCGGGACTTGGAAACTCCAAGCCTCGGGTGAAACGGTGGGTGGGTTCCGCTGTACTTCGACTCGGTGGGGGGGGGCTGAGTCTGAAACAAGAGCTGGCTTAAGGCATCAAGTTGGTCCTTTGGCGTAATTCTGATGTGATCATATGAGGCTGTCTTTAAAACAACAAAAGACACATGATGATTCCCTTGAAACCACATGTTAGCCGTTACCCTTTTTTGTCCTCATCGTTTTAAAGTGCTTTGATTGACTGCAACACTGCCTGCAATCTGCATGCATATGTCCTTTGTGAAACTGCAAACATGAAGCCATGGCAAAGCTCATTCCAAACATTTCCAGCTAGCACATGTGTGGGCCATTGTAAACAAGAAGGTGTTTGGGGTGTTCTGTTGATCGTTTGTTACCGTTTCCAGATTCCATGCCTGGTGCCAACATTGATGTTCATGCACAAACCAAGATTCTGCAGCACAACACTCGTTGTTGTCTTTGGGATGAGACAGGTTTGAAGCGCCACCCAATGCACCATTCTCCAGGTTTATCACGTATTCTTCCTTAGCGTTTTACAGTGACATGCGAAGATGACATTTGCGGTTGGGTGGGTTGGGTGGGAGGTCTATAGTCTCTCGTGTGTTTTACTGGATCTGGCTCTGCTCAAAGCTCATGTTAGGGGCGTCTACAAATTCTCGCCAGGCCATCACATCCTCTCAACCGAGTGGGTCGCTCATGGTTAACACATTGTATAGATGGAGGGCCTGACAACGTTCACTGGTCTAATCATGTCTAATTCAACTCATCACCACCTTTGAAGGACATATCACAAAATAACTTCGGAATTCACCTGGTATTCTTAATGGCGTTTGAAGGCTCCTGGACTTGGAGACACTTCCGGAACTCAAACCCAAAACACCCAGAAGATGAGGAACCCATCTGCTCCGCTTCAGCACACAGTGAGGTCACCTGGGCTCGCAGACGCGTGCAGACTCCCTCTTCAGCGCTTGAGGCCTCAAGGGGATCACTTGGAAGGACCTGCCGGTCCATCAAGAAATCTCACCGTGATTGCGCCACCGGTACTGTACACCTCCTTTGCCACCCAAGCATATTCTTTTTCCAAGGATACTTCGACTTGATTGAAGCGATCCTAAGCGATCCATCGAGACACTTCCAAGCACTTCGCGATGGAACTCCTCGCACCGCGACGCGTCGCACCACAGTCGAAGACCACTCCGTGGACTCTGCAGGACCCGGCAGAAACGATGGCGGAAGGACATGCTTCGACCTGCTGAGGGCTGAGACGTGTTGGCCAGACTTGCCAGTGACCCACTTCGAGTCGAATCTCTCTACACCTGGGCATCTGAATTCCTCGACGCGTCTGGAAGAACAGTGTCCTGGTAGGGCCTGGTACACCGAACAGCTGCTTGATCAAACATCAAGGTGCAAACACTGAAAACACACAAAGAACACACTCCCTCTGGACTTTGTCTGGGCTCATATACATTCAACACCCACATGAACCCATCCACCAAAACGTTCCCACATCATCCGCCCATCCGCCCATCCCATCCGCCCAGTGCCTCCCAGTCGCTACATCCGCCTGCAGCGGTACGCCCGTCCGCTCGCGCTCCGCCGCGCAGCGGCTCTCGGGCTCTCCGGGCATCAGGACCTCCGTGACGCCCTGGACGCCGCGTGGTCCGAAGGCATCCGGTAAGGCAAAGGGCCGGTATGGTCGAGTGGCTACGGTGTGGACTATTCAAACCAACAACAGCAACAGCAGCAACAACGAACAACGAACAACGAGCAAGATCTGGCAAGGCATTCTATCCGTTGAACTTCCGACCCAAAAGGCCAACCTCACCCTATGTACTTCACTTCGACGCCTCAGCGCAGGGTTGGCTCTTCAGGATGGCGACCAGCTCATCCATGCGCTCCTGCTTAGAGTCTTAGGGGACGTGAAAAAGGACACCAAAGCTGAATACCGGCGCTGATTGCAATCTGATTGAAGTTGATGACTAGGCGTTGTGTGTGTGTCACGAAACTTGAAACAATGACGATGATCGGCTTGGAAGGATTCGCCTGACAAATCCTTCAATAACAGGGGTAGATGGTCCGACACAGCCAAGAAACCTACAAGTCCTTGCAGCTGGAGCAACGATGTTTTTTTGGTTTATTCTGACCAAAGGTTTGCTTCATCAACTCTATCGTCGATGCTTTGGCCGAAGAAATTTGCCCCACTGACCAACATGCGGCAACGTGGGCCCTGTATCAAATCAGAACTGGTACTCTTGGGAGATGTTTGTTGTGCACAACATGCTGCAAAAACACATATCCGCCCTGTATTAGCGCAACTTCTCTGACGCAAGCACGGGAAGGTGTCCCTCTCCTTAAGTGCCTCCGTAGATTCTAAGAAGAGGTCTGGGCGCATGCACAAGATGAAATGGCCCACATCCTGCCGCGTTGGTTTCAAATGCAGGATGTGGATTGGTCTTATCTATCCCCCTCCGGTACGACAGGTGACGTTGGTTCCCTATATAATGCCGGAACCAACCTCATTATCGCTCATTTGGTCACAAACCATCTACAACTGCGTACTTTGCTAATCTTTGCTATGCCCCTCACTCAAAGCGGATCCCTCCCTGCTCCCACATGTTTTTGCCCCCACTCTTTTGGATCTTTTGGATCTCTGGTCCAGTGAGGGTCCAGGTGCGGAGAAGGTGGTGGTGCGTCCATAATTTGTGCGGTAAATTCTGGGGTTCAGTTCTGTCGTTCCACAGGACGACAAATGGGCCTGAGGATTTGGACCGTTTGGCACTCAACGACCTGGACGGCCGACCCAGTGTGCCATACTTTGCGTTATTTTGGTTCTTGTGGCAAAGCCCGGGTGTTGATCCAGGGTGCTCAGAGGTGTGTGAGTCAGGCCAATTCGCTGGTATTTACGGTGCTTTGACTCAACTTCTTCAAAGATCTTCAAAGTGCATTTTGACGGCGCCAACTTGCAGAATCTGCCGGGCAGCGACGGGTGCTATCTTTGAGTGCGCTCTTGTGGCCCTGCACACGTGTTTGGACTTTTGCTGGCGCTCACCCAGTCACCCCCATCCCATACCACTTACTTCCACATTGGAAGATTAGATACATATAGATACATGAATGCTAGTCGAAGTGAACGTCATTAGCCCCACCCCACCCCAGCCCCATCCCATCCCAACCCATCCTACACCACTTATTTCAACATTGGGATATGAGATTTGAAGCCGCTTGAAGTGAACGTCATGAGCCCCACCCACCCCAGCCCCAGCCCATCCCATCCCATCCCACACCACTTATTTCAACATTGGGATATTAGATTTGAAGCCGCTTGAAGCCTAATTGAAGTGAACGCCATTAGCCCCACCTCACCCCAACCTGACCCCATGCCATGTGCCCTGTGTGCGCAGATGATCCAGATTTGTGTGCGCAGATGATCCGTGCGAGCAAGTGATCCCCTGCCCGCTGTAGTTCCTCGGTTTGCTTGGGGTCCATGATTCTGGATGGGCCTTATGCCATGCCACGGACCATGGAAGGAATCAGCATGACGGGAGTTTCAAGAGAAAAAGTTGGCCAGATAGACCCTTCCAAACATTCACATTTGAACGTTCATGGACTTGATAGCCTTTTTCAATGCTTTCATCGATTTTCTATGGTGGCCCTGGTGACCCCTAGGCAGCCAACTGGCACCGTTGCTCCACCATGCTCCACCTATGGGCGCAAAAGAAGCACCCAAGCATCCTGAGAAGCAAGCTGAAAGTCGCAGAAGATTCAAAGAAGTGCTTAAGATACCATTTCTCACCCGTCAGAAACGATGGATGGGTTTGCCACATTTGAACCTTCATGGACTTGATAGCCTTTTTCAATGCTTTCATTGATTTTCTATGCCTGGGTGGCCATGGTGACCCCTAGGCAGCCAACCAGC